ACACATATACACACTTTTGTTTACCCACCTAATGACAGCCCCAGCTGTGTGCAGAGTCATTACCATAAGCCATCATGGTGTGAGGGTCCGCTTACACGCCTAATTAGCCCACCACATTCACTTAGCGGCTGTGTGTGCTTTGGTGTGTGTGATGACACACGTCAGTGTAACTTTTCTTGTATGTGAGTCATAGTTTATGGTTTTATGTTAGCTACTCAACCCCGAGAGGGAGGTCAGATAATGTGTGTAGTGTAGTTCACGGATAGCATCCATCCTTCATGCTCTAGTACTTCATCCTTTCTCTCTATCCTTCCATCCTAAGTTAAGGACCTTCCACCAACTCAAATCTTTTAATTGACTCTGTATTTTTGTGTTATGTACCCCCAAAAAACCACGCCAGGAGCTTACATTTTGCAGAGCTAAAGAACCTACTTGTGAATTTTTAAGGATTTTCCTCCCTTGATGCTTTAAAACTGATGCCAAGCTGACAAATTAAATTGCAAACATTTATCATTAAACAACAAAAATGTATGACACGATATGGGATTATGTTTAAGAAGCATTACTACAAATTGAACCATTCTTTGTTGACTGTGGAGTGATCTGATGTGAAATCTGATGTGAAGTAGTAGTTAGTTTTAGAAATGCCAGTTTTTGGAGTTATTCAGATCGATCTAAAGGAACAATTTCATGCCTAATAAAAACCAAAGCTCCTTTGTGTAAGTCGTGTGGTTATGATTTTTCAGTAACTGCTAATAGGAATTGATTTCTTCCTTTTTAAAAAAGACCATACAAACCATTAAAGGACTAAAAACACATTAGTCAAGACTGGGAATTATTCTACTCATTAACTAAAAAGGGGAAGCCCAGTCTAGCGTGCATTCATTGAACACTCAATCAAATACGTGTTTATTGTGTGTCCAACTACAGTGGGTAATTAAGTTGGATAAAACCTCTGGAAAAATAATTCATCCCAAAATTCCTGATGGTTCGACCACTGTGCTTCATTTTCTCCTGGCTTTCTGATACTGCCCTATTACAGCTTATTCAAGCATAAAGCCTTGAAGTGGGTTTTGGGTTTCCTTTCAGCAAATACTGGACTGTGAAAAGATTGCAGTGTGTTTGCGTGAGATTATTTTTCTCAGGGTCACTCCTGCTCTTAACGTTTGATGCACCTTCAAGGCATTTTTGGTTTCATCTTATGTTCAGGATCTCGGATATCTGCATTCACTTTAGCCAAAGAGGTTTCGAGGCCAAGACATCTTTTTTTTGTTTTGCTTGATGAAGGCCAACAGAGTCATATGCATGTCCGAGTGTAAGAAATGTAAACATGTCGTCAGCCTCCATCTGTCCGTTCTGTTAATGTTTGCTCTCTTTTTGTGTCTGATTCTGTTTGGCAGCATCCCAGTTGTCATTTATCAAGTTTTTTGTTTAACTTTGTGGTTTCCTGATGTTTTTTATGGACACAAGTATTTTCCATAATCATTGTTTAAAAACCATTTGGAGCGAGTCATTCACAGATGCCATGGTTTTGGTATGTTTTGATATTCATGCGCATCAATTTATTGTGTCATTCTTATTCACTTTCCTTCTTTTTCAACACTTGTCTCTCCAGGCCACACAGTGCGTAATATCCAGGCTTTTTCGGTGCTCCAGAACGCCTTTCTGAGGGCTAAAACCAGCCGCCTGGCCTGCATGCTACTGGACGCCATCGGAAACATCTACGCAGCAGAGCCGACCAACTACTTCATCCTGGAGTCGCAGCACACTTTGTCGCAATTCGCAGATCGCGTGGCCAAGCTCCCCGAAGCCCAGGCCAAATACTTTGAGCTGCTGGAGTTCGTTGTCTTCAGCCTCAACTACGTGCCGTGCAAAGAGCTATTCAGTGTCAGCGTGCTGCTCAAGTCGAGCACATCACACGCCTGCAGCATCACGGCCGTCCGGACGCTGCTGAAGCTGTCCAGGCACGACCCAGTGTTCAGTGACGTGCTGCGGGAGGTCGGCCTGCTGGAGGTGCTGGTCAACCTGCTGCACAAGTATGCTGCCTTACTCAAAGACCCGGCTACGCAGCAGCAACCACACAATAATGATCAAGGTATGGAGATGTTTTGGTTCTGTTTTTGTGAATAATGAGCTGACTGGAGGACTGCAGAATTGATCCCTCCTCCTTGACCAAAGGGAATTT